GCAGATCTCTGTGAGATTGAGGCCAGCCTGATCTACATAGTGAGTTCCAGGTCTACAGGGATATCCTGTCTCAAAAAGAAAAAGAAAAAAAAAAAAACAACACAAAAAACCAACCAACCAAACAAGCAAAAAGATTTTTTTTTTTTTTGGTCTTTTTGAGACAGGGTCTCCCTGTAGCCGCTGCTGTCCTGGAACTATGTAGACCAGGCTGGCTTTGAACTCACAGAGATCCATCTGCCTCTGCCTCCCAAGTGCTGGCATTAAAGGCGTGTGCCACCACAAGACTTTTTTTTTTAATTATTACGTGTATATATGTGCGTCTACATGAGTTTATGCGCACCATAATAAAGGATCTTTTTGGCACTGGAGTTACAATAAGTTATGAGCCACCTGGTGTGGGTGCTGGGAACTGAATGTAGGTCCTCTACAAGAGCAGTAAGTGCTGTTAACCATCTTTCCAGCCCTTATTTTGGGATTTTTGAGACAGTATCTCACGTAGCCCAGTTCATGTAGAACTCCCAATGTAGTCTAGAATGACCTTGAACTCCTGATCTTTCTGCCTCCACCTTCCAAGCGTTGGGATTATAGGTATTTGCCACCATGCTTGGCTAAAATTTTTGTTTTCTTGAGTTATATGTAAATTTGAGTCTCTTCTTTTTTTTTTTTTGAGACAGGGTCTCCCTGTAACCCCAGCTATCCTGGAACTTGCTATGTAAACCAGGCTGGCCTTGAACTCACAGAGATCCACCTACCTCTGCCTCCTGAGTGCTGGGATTAAAGGCGTGCTTGAGTCTCTTCTTAAAGGCTTCAGCCTTCCTCTGTTCTACAGTTCAAATGGGAATATGGCAGTGACTAGTTTTGACATTCAAATAAGGAAGGACACTACCCTAGGGGTAAAGCCACCACACAGACACAATCTGGATCCCTGAGTAACCACAAGGGTAGATTCCCACCTTGGTCACCTTGGCTCATTCACCTTAGCTGAATCTTTGCTATAGCATCCTAACCTGACCTAATCAGTAGAGCCACAACTCTTTGTTTTTATCGACCTGGCAGCTGTTCTCTTTACCACACACTGGCAGCTGTTCTCTTTACCACACACTTTAATAACTGCTTCACACCAAAACATGTGGTACCACTCTTATGTTTATGTTGTGGAGAGAGCAGCTTGTGTAGTCTAGGCTGGCCTTGAACTCTCAATCCCTGGCCTCTGCCTCCCTCCTAAATGTTGGGATTAGAGGACAGGACCACCATTCCTACCACCTGTGCCAGTTTTCCAAATAACTGGTTTCTTTTCAGTTTATTTGTCTTTTTGAGATCGGGTTTACCTGTAGCGCCAGCTGGCCTGGAACTTGCTTCGGAGACCGGGCTGGCCTCAATCTCATAGAGATCCACCTGCCTCTGCCTCCTAAATGCTGGAATTAAAGGCATTAGCGACCATGCCCAGCTGGAGTTTTTTTGTTGTTGCTGTTGTTGTCTTTTATTTTGAGACAGGGTCACCCTAGCCCTCATTGGCCTAGAACTGGCTATGTAGAGCAGGCTAGCCTCAATCTCAGAGTGCTGGGATTAAAAGGGTGCCACCACACCCTGTTTGGTTTCCTTTTTTATAAAAAGGATTTTATTATTACTTTATATGTATATGAGTGTTTGCCTACATGTATGTAAATACACAACGTGCACACAATATCCAGCAGAGTCCAGAAAAGTATGTCAGATGCCATGGAACTAGAATTGGGAATGGTTGTTAGCTGTCATGTGGGTGCTGGGAACTAAACCTGAGTCCTCTGGAAGAGCAGCCAGTGCTTGTAACCACCTCTGAGCCATTTCTCCAGCCCCTTGGTTTCATTTTAAAACAACAAACAAACATGGCTTCAAGATCTACCTGTCTCTGTGCCACAACACTCTGCTTTTCTTTAAAATTAAAAAAAAAAAAAAAAAAAAAAAAAAAAGCAGAGGAGGTAGGTAATGCTATAGCTTACATACAAAAAGAAAAAATATCAGATCCACTCTTTTTGTTTGTTGTGTTTTGCTTTGTCTTTTGAGAAAAGGGCTCATTATATAACCCGACCTGGCCCAAACTCACCATCCTCCTGCCTTGGCTGGGATTACGGGGTATGTATGGCACAAGACCCAGCTTTCCCCACTGCATCTTTTTTTAATTTTTAAGAAAATTTTACTTATAGCTAGGCATGCTATAAATAAAATTTAGGAAGACCCTGTCTCAAAAAGACCAAAAAAAAAATTATTATTTTTATTTTATGTGTATGCATGTATTGCCTGCATGTAGGTAAATGCACCCATGTTGTGCAATGCCCGCGGTCAGAAGAGGCTGTCAGATCCCCTGGAACTGGAGTTAGAGACAGTTGTTAGCTGCCATGTGGGTGCTGGGATTTGAGCCTGGGTCCTCTGCAAGAACAGTGTTCTTAACTGCTGAGCCATTTCTCCAGCCCCCCGCCCCACACACCAACTGCATCTTAAATTTTTATAGGGTTTTGTTTTGGAGACAGGATCTAATCCAGGCTTGCTAGAACCTACTATCTTCACTTTGTAGGCCAGATTGACCTTGAACTCACAATTCTTATGCCTTAGCCTCAAGTGGGAGGGTTACAAGAATGCAAAACCCTGCATTCCTTTAAAATTTCATATACTACTACTGCTAAATATTGGGAAGATAGTATTCAAAAAAAAATTTTTTTTTTTTTCTTTTTGAGACAGGGTCTCCTTGTAGCCTGGGCTGTCCTGGAACTCACTGTGTAGACCAGGCTGGCCTTGAACTCAGAGATCCACCTGCCTCTACCTGGGATTATGTGGGTGCTGGGATTAAAGGTGGGTGCCACCAAACCCAGCTTCAAATAAATTCTTAAGTATATCTGCAAAGGGACTGGAGAAATGGCTCAGTCCACTGGCTGCTCTTACAGAAGACCTAGGTTCAAATCCCAGCACGCACATAGCAGCTAACAACTGTAATTCCAGTTCTGAAGATCCAACACCCTCTTCTGACCTCCTCAGGCACTGCATGACACCAATGCACTTATATACACCCAGGCAATATACAAAAACACATAAAGTAAAAATAATGAATAAAATCTTTTTTTTAAAAAAAAGTGTACACAGCTTTTGATGACCTAAGTTCAGCTCCTAGCACTGTCAGGCAGCTCACAAGCAGCTCTAGGGAGATCTGAAGGCTCTGCCCTTCATAGACACCTACACTCAAATGCATATACCTACACAAAGACAAAGACAGACAGACACACACATGTTATTAAAAATTTAAAAAAACAGGGGTCTGGAGAGATGGCTCAGTGGTTAAGAGCACTGGCTGCTCTTGCAGAGGACCCTGGTTCAGTTATCAGCACCCACATGGCAGCTAACAACTGTCTGATACTCCAGTTCCAGGGAATATGATGTT